TCGGACACTTAACTGACTGAGCCACCCAGGCGCCCCAAAACCATCCAGCTTTAAACCCATCTTTTCTCTCATTGAAGTTTTTCAGCCCATTTTAGTAGCTACTAAACATATCTCTCATGCTTAAGCCTTTAATAAAGTTTCTCTTTTGAGCCTACTTAATATTTAAATACTATTTAATTAAAACATTCAGAAACTTTATAAACGTCCCTTGAAAACTTCAAAAGAACATGGTCTTCCATTGTAGAGTCTGCATTTCTCTATCCATACATATTGTTTCATTTTACGTTTAATTCATTTTGGACTACTTAATATTTTAAGATTAATAGATATAAAAATTAGCCTCTACCCATGGATTTTTTTCGCTTTCAGTTTTTGTACTATAATTATTTCTAGCAGAGGATCTTAGAGCCGGACTGCCAGGAAAGAAAAACCTAGATTCTTTGCATTATATGTTTCTAATCTATTTTAATATTACTCTCTGCCTCAGTAAAACCATCAACTAGAATGCAGATGATCGAATCCTCTTCGGGTGGTTTTTGTGAGGAGTTAGTACATTATTTGTGTAGAGTGCTTTCAGTTCTAACCTTTCTGGTACAGAATAGGTGTGGAAGACTGTGGTTCATTTGATCCTGTGTGATTAGATGCTTCAGAGTTCGCCGACAAGAACTTCCATTGATGAGCACAATGTAGCAGGTTGAAAAAGGCCAGATTTCCTCCTGTAACACCTGGGATTAGGGCAAACAATTGTCAAAATTATGTTTCAAACACATCACAGAGCTGTGCAAGGAAGGAGAACCAGCCGAACTAAAATCCATCAAGAGGAGAATCTTTTCAGGTGAAGAGATGATCTATGTATTCAAATGCAAGCCCTATCAACTCCTAGAAGATTTCTTGCAGGAAGTGAAAAACTATTCCTAAAATGTATACAGAAATGCAAAGCACCCAGAATAACCAAAAGAATTTGTTTTTTAAAAAAAGAACAAATTTGGAAAATTACAGTTCCTGATTTCAACGCTTGCTAGAAAGCTGCATTAATCAAGATAGTGTGGTACTCACAAAATTATATATATGTGTGTATATATATATATATATATATATCAGTGAAACACAACTGAAGTTCAGAAATCAGCACTAATATTTATGGTTAACTGATTTCAAAATTCAATGGGAGAAATTACATCTCATTTGTCTAACAAATGATGCTGGGTAAATTGGATATCCACATGAATAAAACTGAGTTTAGACCCTTATTTCATACCATATGCAAAAATTAACTTAAAATTGCTGAAAGACTTCAATGTGAGAACTAAGCCTATGAAAGTTTTAGAATAAAATATAGGGGAAACTTTTGAAAGCTGAGCAGACCTTTTAGATGCAATACCAAAAGCATGATGCATAAAACTTAAATATTAACATATTGGACTACATCAAAATTGAAAATATTTGCTGTATAAAATACAAGTCTGATTTCATGATTGTAGAGCTACCGTAATTAAGTCAATGTGGTACTGTTGTTTGCTTATACAAGCAGATTAGTGGATTAGAAAATAGTATCTCATGATAGACCCACACATGCATGGTCAGTTCATTTTGACGAGGGAGCCAAAACCATTTCATGAGAAATAAAATTCTCTTTAATAAATGATGCTGGAAAACTGAATAACAGTATAAAAAAATGAACTTCGATTTTTACCTCTCACCATATAAAAAATTAATGTGAGGTGATCTTAGATTTAAATATAAAAGATAGGGGCGCCTGGCTGGCTCGGCCTGTTGAGCATCCGACTTCTGCTCAGGTCATGATCTCATGGTTCATGAGTTCAAGCCCTGCGTGGGGCTCCATGCTGACAGCTCAGTGCCTGGAGCTTGCTTCAGATTCTGTGTCTCCCTCTCTTTCTGCCCTTCCCCCACTCGCTCTCTGTCTCTCTCTCTCTCTCTCTCAAAAATAAACATTAAAAAACTTTTTTAGGGGCGCCTAGGTGGCTCAGTTGGTTGAGCATCTGGCTTCGGCTCAGGTCATGATCTCGCAGTTTGTGAGTTCGAGCCCTGCATCGGGCCCTGTGCTGACAGCCTGGACCCTGCTTTGGATTCTCTGTCTCCCTCTCTCTGCCCCTTTCCTGCTCATGCTCTGTCCCTCTCTGTCTCTCAAAAAATGAATAAACGTTAAAAACAATTTTTTTTAATTTTTTAAAATTTTTTTTAAATCTTAAAAAAAATGAAAGATAATGATTCTAGAAGAAAATTGGATTCTATTTCTGTGGCTTTGGAATTTCTTAGCTAGAACATATACATGCACAATCACATGAACACACACACGCGAAAAGCTAAACAAAAAAGAATAAAAGTGATGAATGAAAAGGCACTGTCAAGAAAATCAAAATGTTGGCCATAGAACGGGAGAAATATATATAATATAGATGTAACCAAGGACTGTTTATTAAATATATACACTAAACATTGTTGCAACTCAATACTAAGAAAACAAACATCTCAATTTAAGGAAAATAAGCAAAAGACTTCAAAAGACCCTTAACAAAAGAAGATGTGATAAACCACTAAAAACGTGTTCAACAACATTGCACATAAGGGAAATGCAAAATAAAGCTACTTCAAACCCTCTGGAATGTGACAGTTCAAGAAACTGACCACGCTAGATTGTGGCAATGATGTGAAGCAACTAGAACTCTCATATTTTTCTGCTGAAAAATAATACAGCCACTTTGGAAAACTGATTGACAGTTTCTAACAAAGCCTCACATACATATTGCCAACTATTCAGCTATTCCGCTAGTGTGTTTATTTACCTAAAATAAATAAAAACGTATGTTCACAAAACGACTTTCACGAGAATGTTAATACCAGCTTTACTCAATAGAGTCCATTACTGGAAACGGTTTAAATATCCACCAACAGGGAGATGAATGAACAAATCGTGGCATATTCATAGAATAAAATACCATTTAGCAATAAAAGAAATAAACTACTCGTATACACAACGATATGTATCTCAAAAAACTATGATTGAAAAAAAGAGGTGGACAAAAAAGAGTGCATATAGTATGATTTCTAAAACAAGCAAAAAACTAAGGCAAAAACCACAAAAGTAGTTGTCTGGAATCTGATCCAAAAAAGGACACAAAATAACTTTGGGGGGGGGTGGTAAAATTGTTCCATATTTTATCATGGTCATTGTTTCAACGTGGTATATAATAGTTAAAGGTCATCAAATTACATATGTAAAATTAGCATATTATGCTATATGTAATTATACCTCACTAAGGTTAATGTTAAAAATAAAAAAAAAAAATAGGGGTGGCTGGGTGGATCAGTCATTTAAGCCTGTGATTCTTGATTTGGGCTCAGGTCATGATCTCATGGTTTGTGAGTTCAAGCTTTTTGAAAGCTCCACCCTTGGGCTCTTTAATTCTCTCTCCCTCTGTCTCTGCTCCCCCACCCAATCATGCCCACTCTTTCTCTCTCTTAAAACAAATAAATAAAGTAAACATGTGATAGATGATAGATAGATAGATAGATAGATAATAGATAGATGATAGATAGACAGATAGATAGATGATAGATAAAAATAAGGGCAAAATAAATATTTTCAAAGAAACAAACCTCACCAGTGGAAACTCTAAAGAGTACTTTTCGACTCCACCATGAAACTTGTGGGACCTCTCGGCCTGTCCTAGCAGGGATTACCTGCACCCCCAGTTCCCGAGGGGGCTCTTGCGCCCAGTCGTGGAGGTGCAATGCTCACCGCGGGCCCCCGCCTGTGTTTGCAGCGCCAGTAGAAGACTGATCTTTGAAAATACATATTTGGGAGATAGTCACGTTCTATTAAATCCTTTGTGCTGGTGCTGCCGTGAAAAAAATCTGGTTACACTGTGGGTTGGCCTGCTGCCTCTGCAGGACAGCACCGCCTGGGCCCTGGGATGAGGGTCCGCCTGAGCAGACACACCATGAGTCAAGCAACTCGGGGATGCAACCTACCATTCTGTCCCACTGGGAGGAAGCATCGAGTCCGGGGAGCTGATTGCTCAAGTCAGACGCTTAACCAACTGAGCCACCCAGGTTCCCCGAGCTGATTGCTTTTTAAAAAATGAAAAGATGGGGCTCCTGGGTGGCTCAGTCGGTTGAGCGTCCAACTTCGGCTCAGGTCATGATCTCACGGTTTGTGAGCTCGAGCCCCGCGTTGGGCTCTGTGCTGACAGCTCGGAGCCTGGAGCCTGCTTTGGATTCTGTGCCTCCCTCTCTCTCTGCCCCAACCCACTCTCTTTCTGTCTCTGTCTCTCTCAAAAATAAATAAACATTTTTAAAAAAATTAAAAGATCAGACTCTGTGTCTCCCTCTCTCTCTGCCCCTCCCCTGTTCATGCTAAAGAAATAAGTGGTTTCCTGAATCAGCTATAAGGAATATCATGTATCAGATATTACAAGGACTTGTGTTTCTTCACAAACATGGCTCCTTCCAGCGGGACTTAAAGCCTGAGAACTTTCTCTGCACCAGCCCAGAACTTGTGAAAATACAGACTTCAGGTTGGCGGGAGAAATCCGATCAAGACCTCCATACACAGACTATGTATCTACCAGAAGGTACAGGGCTCCAGAAGTGCTCCTGAGGTCTACCAGTTGTGCTCCTCCACTGACATCTGGGCTGTGGGCTGCATCATGGCAGAAGTGTGCACCCTCAGGCCACTCTTCGCTGGGGCCAGTGAAATCAACACAATTTTCAAAACTTGCCAACTGTTGGGGACCCGGAAAAAGACCAACGGGCCCGAAGGCTACCAACTTTCAAGTGCGATGGACTTCCACTGGCCCCAGAAGGTACCCAGTAACTTAAAGACCTTGATTCCAAATGCTAGCGGCAAAGCCGTTCAACTCCTGAGAGACAAGCTGCAGGGGGATCCCAAGAAACAGCAAACAGCTAAGTCAGGCCCTTCAACAGCCTTACTTGCGGACCAGGCATTCACTGGGCTGCATCGCATAGAGCCCTGAGGATTCGGGAAAACCACAGAAGGATGTCCTGGAAAAGGTAGGCCCACCTTCTCACGTGAAGCCTGTCCACGCTACCCAGATCCCACCCAAGCCAAGTGCACAGATTTCTTCAAGGCAGCATCAAGCCCTCCAGCCTTCTCGGCATTTCATGTACCCCCCACAAAGCAGAGGCTCCCAGGCCGGATCACTCGAACCACCTTCTGGTGGACAAGCCAAGCCCGTTGCTCTTCCTGAACCAAGAATACCAAGAATCCCCCGTCGAAAATACGAGCTGGCCTGGAACACAAAAATGGTGAGATCAAGCCAAAGAGTAGGAGAAGGTGGGTCTTGCCTCCTGGTCAACAAAGGAATCTGATGACTGGGTTGACTCGGTTGGATGACTTAGATTACAGTCTATCGCTCACCAGGATTGCCCTGAAAAACAGGAAGAGACAGAGTGAAGAGAGACCCTCTGCAGAACTGAGAGTGGTTTGGACCTGAAGCCCTCTGCGCCCCGGTACTGGAAGTGGCGCCCCCTACCCAGACCTCCTGTCAGAGATGAGACACAGCAGCCCTGAGATCCAACGCCAAGCAGCACTACTTGAAGCCATCTGGATCCACGCCTGGGATAAATCTAAGAAGCGGCATACTTCCAAATCCAGGCAAGGGTTTTATTTCATCGAAGACGCGGTCTACTTCTGATTTGTACGGAAAATCTTCAGGAACAGTGTATTTTTATCAGCAAAATACATTCAGTTGGTTCTGGTTCTACTACTTCTAGTGGACTAACGAAACTATATGCCCTCCTTTCTGAAAAAAAAACGAAGTTGGTTCCGCTACGCAGAGGGTACACTTGGCACCTATTCCAGACCCTTCCCCTGGCTATTCTTCCCTGAAGGCCGAGCGGCCTCATCCTGGGTGACCTTGTTTCCACAACCAGCCTAGAAGCACATCTGGATTGATGCCACGGCCTCCGGCTGCCCAACCAGTGCACGGCCCACCGGACTAGGCTTCTAAGTATGCGTCTCAGCGATGACTTTCACAAAGCTTCTGAGAGGCGGGGAAAGCGAGACACTGTACATCTGCCAACTGGTGTTTGGCCGGCAAGACACTTGCCGATGGTGTGAAAGCAAACACTTGATAGTTATTCTTCTGAACCAAGACATTTCAATATCCTTTAAAAAAAATTTTTTTTGATAGTGATCTGAGTGCAATATCCTTTTTTGGTACCAAATTATTTTATTCTAGAACTCGATCCCGTTATTTTTTTTAATGTGTTTTTTGTTTGTTTGTTTGTTTGTTTGTT